GAGAGTTTGTACCAACATATTTTTTTCTTTCAAAATATGATAATAATACAACGCGAAACACTTGGATTCGAACAATAAAAGCACCTTACACCCCCACCTATCTATCTATTCTAAAGATCAACTTACGTTCGATTTACTATCGATCGATCCTAATTCAGTATTGTTACGAAACCTTTCTTGGATATTGTTAACAAACTCTGTGTGCATGTGTTTGTATGTTTGTGTTCGCACATCGTAACTTTTCACATCGTTGTTACAAAGCAGCAGTTCGTCGTTTCTTCCTCCTACTCGTATTCCTCCTCCTTCTTTTCTTACTTTGCTTCCTTCTCCCCCAACCAACCCCTCGAACCTCTCACCCTCACTAGACTCGATCGAATCGATCTTGCGAGTAATTAATTTCAATCTATAGTATAGTTGCATAAAGGTGAAAGTTTTGATCTCTATTGGCGAATCAAAGTTAAGAATGAAGAAGAAAGACGGGGGAAAAAAAATGGAATGATTTTTACGATGATTCGATCAATCAATGTCCAATTGAAATTCTTATTAAATAAATAATACAATAGTAGGAATAAAAATAAGAATAAGAAGAATGAGGTTACATCTTATTCATCCTGATGTACGAGCCACTTTGAAAACTTGAACACAGATACCTATAGTTGTCCTACGTTGTCCTACGTTGTCCTACGTTGTCCTACGTTGTCCTACACTGTCTCCTCTATTGACTTGGAAAGAAAGATTTGAGGGTGTTGTAGAAAAAAGTCTTCCGTGTATTTGTCAACTTACCTTTGACCTTTGTCACAAAAAATATATGTCTCGGAATGTTTCTGAACAACACAACAAGGGAAAACTAACCGTAAGGTTGTTTTCGTAAAGGAGAAGTTGTAACGATGGAAATATAAACGTCAAGAATTTCCGCGTGCGTGACACCTTTCTGTGTTATCTATACAGGAAGTTGTACTCTCTTGAAGGAGAAAAGAAAGAGAAGAAAAAAAAAAAAAACTACAAAGTAAAAGAAAGGAGGAAAGTGTAGCGAACAGAAAATTCAACTAAACTAAACGCAATGCGTTATATGAATTATGAATGAAGTCTTGAATACCGATCCTACGAATGACTATTAAGAATGACTATAACTATTAAGAAAAAGCTCTTTTCTAACAGGAATATTTGAAATTATTCAACAGAATGAGAGAGAAAATAAAGTTTAAACTAAACTAAACTAACATGAGTTTAAATAAAAAAGTATTAATCAAGAAAGGAATGTTATATTTAAGGAAAATTATATTTAATATTCGGGGACGTTCCCCGTTTCTACGAGATAGTAAGAAAGTTATATGCGATTTTGTATTCCCCTCCTACCTACCCCTTTCCCACACCCTCTTTCAAGGAAGGCGACACTTTCGAATCGTGATTTACGACAGCATTACACCGTTGGTTCCGTTGGTTCCGTTGTTAAAAAGAATAATCCTACGAAAGTTATAATTACCGAAGGCTTAGACACTGTGAAAGTGTCGCCGCCGCGTATCCTTTCAAAGATTTCTTTTTTTTTTTTTTTTTTCAACTTTATAACAAAAACCATATACGTAATAATAAATAAAACAAAACAAAGTAACAACTTTCTAGAGAGAAACAGATGGTTGGTCACGTTCCGAAGATAAAAAACAATACTTAAACATACCAATAATAATAATAATAATAATAATAATAATAATACGTGAGAAAGGTAACTTATCATAAAACAGGATAAATAATTTGTTATTTTTTGTATGAAAGGGTTAAGATAAGAGAATAATGTCCTTAAGGGATCCTTTCGATTGAAACGTGTATTGTACACACACTTACGCACTTCCACAACAACATACACGCATGTATATGCAAGCAATGCAAGCAATGCAAGTACGACAAAATATTATGGGAAAAAAATAAAACCGTGGTGTAAAATACAAATGTAGGTGAGTGAATAGGCGCGCGAGCGCGTGGACGACGGCGCACGGTAAACTGCGCTAAGCGCCGGGATGCCAACGATACCGACGACGACGACGACGACTGCCGCCGTCGACTTCCCATTGGCGCCCGCAACGGACAAACGCAAAGCACATCCTTATACTACTACTACCACCACTACTAATACTAATATACTACTGTGACGTAGGTTAGTTAAACGACGTCGCGGCGCAAGCGTCCCTTCCTATAGGTATTTCATCTTCCTTTATTTTCCCTTTCTGATTTTTCTCTTTTACAAGCACCCTTTACTACCACCCACTCACATTACCAAGCTTTTACTCTTATAATAAACCCCCACCACCCTTGTCATCACATCATCATCATCATCATCATCGTCGTCGTTGTCTGTATTTTTTCCGACAGAGTATCCAACTATCCCTATTAGATTTACGTATTCTACAGGTTAGTTATTTCCCTTTTCAATCATGCAAATTCTCTCGAGACTCGTCTAATGTAAGAGTCCTTCTTCGTAATCGAATTTTTTTCTTTTCTTTTTTTTTTTTTTTTATACTTTAGAAATGTTTTTTATCATGTTAAATCTCCCGTCTAGTATCGGTGTTACGTTATGCACACGATGAGTCAATAATTTTTATCACCTGAAATAATAACCTGTAACAGCTATTCACAGATAATCATAACAACAACAACAATAATAATAATAATAATAATAAAGATGATGATGATTATTTTTACAAAAAAAAAATTATTATTATTATTATTATTATTATTATTTTTTCAATCGATCGATCGATCGAACTTTATCGATGACAATCGATAACATTAATATTTCTAATTGTATATACTGAGCTGTGAGCATATAATCGAGTAATTACGATTTCTTTGTCCTATAGTCAAAGAGATAGTCGTCGAAGTAGAACGTTGCTGAAAGCCAGCAATTAGTTTAGTCAATGGGGAAACATTTACAAATCTTTTTCGTGCATGCCTCCAAGGCTAAATCGCCATTGACGCGAATCATTACTTATTCATTTCTACAATTTTATTATTATTATTATTATTATTAATATTATCATTTTCTTCTTGTATATATCGCTCGCTCTCTCTCTCTCTCTCTCTCTCTACAAGATATATTAGTATTAAATATTACTATCTTTTCCGGGTAAGAAATGACAAGAAAAATTCCACGTGTGTACAAGTTGGTTAATTTTGTAAAAGATAATTGTCTTATCGAAATTTCTCTTTCCATCTGCTTGTCTATCTATCTATCTATCTATCTATCTATCTTTGTCTGTTAACATAAAACAAATAATACTACACGATCGATAATAGCTGTTCTTTAACACGTTCGTGATAATGATAATGATACCAGGACTAGTAATTAGTTTCTCTTGGGTGAGAAGACGAAAGGTGTGACACGCGTAAACCCAATTTGCAATTTCTTCCTATCTTTCGTGTAGCATTCTTCCTCTAAAGCCCCTTAGTAGCCCCTTCTCTCTCATGAAGAATGTAAAGTTTGGTAAAGAAAAAAAAAGGTCAGATTCATTTATATTACTACCTTGGAAATCATTGACTCGTATAAGTTTTCGAGGCGTTTTTATAAAAAGCATCCACCTTCTCGGACACTACCAAAATAAACCGACTAAAAATATTCAATGACGATGTACGAAAAGGCATACTTGTTATATTAACCAAATGAACCTTATTCTCTGTAAAAGGTAGAAAATTGATATATGTAATGTAATATGTAGTAATAGATACTAAGAAGAATCAAAAGTAAAAGACAATGAAACATTACATTTCGGTACCTACACTAAGATCGATCGCGAAAGTTTAATTAATTATCGACGCTCACGTGAACACGCGCTAATTGCTTTCTCGTGTGGCAACCAGACCTGGCTCTCTGCTCACACAGCACAGCACAACACAACACAACACAACACAATACAATACAACTTGACTACATAAAGTTTCGTTGCCAATGTGAGATTATTCCAAGGCATCCTGGCAAAACCCTCTCTCTGTGTGTGTGTGTGTGTGTGTGTGTTTGTGTGTGCGGTGATTAAAGCTTCCGGTGCAGGAGGAGGCGTGCTGACCCGAGGCTAAAATTAAGAATTAAATCAGCCACGCGAGCTACGCAAATGTGAGGCCTGACTACCCTCCCTCCCCTAACCCCACCGATTACTTTCTCGTTGGTACTTAACACCCTTAGGCCGACAAATCGTTGCAATAATCTCGCTAAAATCGTTTGGACAAAGAGAAAGGAAATTATCCACCAATAATCCACCACCCACCACCCATCACCCTCCTCCAAACAATATCGTATATATGCTCGCTTCAACTTTAGTCTTGTAATATTGCATTTTGATAGAAACATGAAAATATAAATTCGATTCTTTCCATTTTATTTAGTTGTAGCTTTCTTTTTACCTATATAAAATTGTACCACACCAAGGAAAAAGCTCAAAATGATCGTCGAAGCGTTCATACATATATAGCGTGCATACATACGTACGTCGTATCTGTCCTCGACCTGTTTAGAAGCGTTCGTTTTCATGGCAAGTTCGTTGCTGCTGATGTATGAACGAGACGACGAGTTAAATCGGATTTTCGATCGAACAAGCACGTTTCTAAAGAGTTTGACATACCTCTCAAAACTTTTTTACCTATACATACATTTTACTATATATGTTATGATAAAGAAGAAAAAATCCACGAAATAATAAACCGTTAAGTTTTCTTCAATGATTTATATATAACGGTCTGTCTCCTCGTGTTACTTTATTTTCTATTCCTAGTAATATTCATTTTGCTTATGAACATTACTTTTGACATGTTAATTTATTTTGAAAGACAGGGTTTCTTGCTGTGTATTTTAAGTATTAACAATTTACATGCATGTATAACATTATGTGTATTGAAGAATATATTATAGACATATATATGTAGGTAGGAACAACTGTAACGATAAAGATAGTGAGAACGTAATAACATTGGATAGGATTCTACGTTTAATGCGTTAAAGAGATAAGGGACTCACTCACCTGATAGTTGTCGTTCCGATTGCGAACGTGGCTGCTGCAACGACTGAAACAAGACGAAACATAGTTATGGCTAGTTTATTTTCCCTATTTACATCCTACCTACTATCTACATTTAAAAGGCAATTTTTCCTTCTTTTTGTTTGTTATTTAGTTTCTTATTGATATCGTTCGGACATATCGTGACGCGGACGTAATATTCATCGAATCCATAATTGGAAAATGTATCGATTGTTTAATTGATAAAGAGAGAAGGAAAACGTTTATTCGAGGGGTTCGTCAAGGGATGCCAACCGACGACTAATACGTTGCTAGTTACGGCTCACTGCTCCATTAGCTTTGATCGCTCACTGATACACCTTTACTTTCATTTACATGTGTGTAAAAACACACATTTAACGAAGAGAAGATGATCATCATGCTCGTTCGTGCGTAAACCACCATAGTGTTAGTAATGCGCAACAACAAAAAATTGTTCAACACACACACACACACACACACAATTGCATAAACGAACGAGAACAAAGTGGGAATTTTCTTTATTTATTTATTTGATTGATTTTATTTTTATTAGACGACAAATAATCGCAAAGTTGCACGAGTAAATATTTATTTCCGGTAGATAATATTGATTTTCTCATATTCTTTTTGTCTTTATTTAATTGATAAGAAACTAAACGAATCGTTTCTTTTCTATTGATAAAACAACAACCACTTGTTTTACTTATCACACTCTAATAATTCCTTTTTTCCATTTTTTTTCTTTTTTCTTATAATCTTCCAGTATTATTATCATTAGAGATAAGAGACACGTTTACACGAATACTTAACTTTTTCATTCATTCGTTTATCATCGATGTTGAAAACATGTGAAACTTGCAACATCTTTTTAAAAAAAAAAGGAAATCAGTTTTAATGCAAAAAAAAAAAAAATAAAAAAGAAGGAGAAGAAGAAGAAGAAAAAATGTATCCCTTTAAACGTATAAAACCCTGATCGATAAACGTTTTAGGTAAACGGAACACAAGCGCAACACGTTTATGCATCCGAGCGAAGTTATGCTTTTGGTATCAAAGCACCGGTCAACTGACCTTGAATGCTATTATGCCTCCCTCTGATCGTGGTGTATGCATGTTCGTTCAATACCCATGAATTATATGGACCTATATTATGGACCCGTTTTCTTCGATCTTCTAACTACTATCATGCTTATAAAAATAATCATTTAACACGTGCACGTTGCATAAACATAAGCAAGCACGCTGCATTATTGAATATTATTATAATAATATTCAAAAGCAATTATTCAAAGCATTGGAAATGCTTTTTAATTTGGAGTGCAAAGGGGCTGATTTATGTTTCGGAATTGTACTTTTATAATTGAACTTACCGAGACCTTTCCCACGTTATTTCCTACGTCGTTGTTTTCCAACAACGGCGCACTGCTACTCTTTCCGCCCATTTCTATCGTCAATGGTTCTGGTTTCAACTGCAGACTAGCTGCCGATGGTGAAGATGGTGCACGTGGTGGAGTCTCCAATAATTCACCGGAACTCAATGAACTGGCTGTCGTAGACAGACCTATCATGTCAATATGAAATTATTTCTCAACAAGAAGAAGAAGAAGAAGAAGAAGAAAGTATAAAACTCACATAATGGTAGATTGGTAGGTCTAGGTGGTTTAACACGTGGCAAAGAATCGTCCAATCCACTGCTACTGTCAATCACTTCTTGTATATATAAATCCTCCTCGTGATGTTTCGTTTGTGTGTGAACACTTTCACGTTTTACCCAAACGTCTTGATTGTTTTTATCGTTACGCGAGCCCAATTTAGATGGTCTACGGCGTATTCTTTCCCAAGTTTCTTTACGGTGACACTTAGAGGTCGACGCTTTAAAGAACAAAATAAGAACAACAATACGTTAAATAAGACAACAGCATCTCGCAAAAAGAAGCTATTTTTAATAATTTTAAATAATATTGAAGGAAGCTAATAAATATTAGGTAACGCTTACGTTTGCTTAATCGTCGATCCGTACTTCTAGGTGGGCTCGCAGTACCGATTCCACTTTCTAGGGGTGAAGAAGCTCTATCAACAGCGTCCGGTGACAAACTACCCGATGAAATCTCATCCATGCTTTGCAAAAGATCTTGACAGGATGATGATGATCTGTTGTCGTCGTCTACGGTGTCTTGAGGCGAGGGTGGGTCTAGTGTACTCTCGTCTTGCAGCGACTGCGAATCCAATTGCGATTCCGCTATAAACGCCAAAGCGAAGCAAAGCTGATAAGCGACGAATCGACTTAGCTTGCTACTGCTACTGCTACTACCACTACTACTACTACTACTACTACCACTAATTATTAATACTACAATGCTACTACCACTACTACCACCACTACTATTGCGTTCAATTTCTTATCCATCTAAAATCAGGAAAATATTGAAAACTATTGATATAGTGTGCTATGTGTGTCTGTCAGCTTACCTCGCGGTGATTCGCATTCGCTGACCCAAGTAAAACTAGAACTTCTTGATATAGGAGGTGACGTTTGTGTGGCTATGTCAGAATAAGTAAATGATTCCATTGGTGGACTGTTAGGACAACAGGAACCCGAACCATTTCTGATTCTCGATAAAAGTGAGTGCAGGGAGATTGGCAACTAAAATTATCATTAATCATTGATCAATTCAGTGTTCAATAGAATGACAAATAATAAAAAATATTATTAATTATTATTAATTATTATTAATTGGATTCTTACCGATCCCGATCTGGCGTTGTTTTGTTCCTCGATAATTCTCTTAGCGTCAACATTTTCCATTCTTCTATTGTCATTAATCATTGTCAATTGGTTTTTATTATTTTGTGGCAAATCGCATTCGACTGCCACGTCGTTACCCCTCGACCTTGATATTGAAAATTTCTTCAAATCAACCGGCGGACTAGTTTCCCTGACATCTCTGTCAGATTCTGACAATCTTTTAGCTGAAATATCCGAACGTAAGGTGAAAGGTGAAACGGCACGTTTTTTCGTCGACGTATTATCCTTCGTACGATTTGCTAAAAATAAATCCTGATCGGGTAGTGACGATACTCTGACCAATACAACGTCGTCGTTCGTATTATCGTGAAAAACAGGTGTCTGTCTTCTTTTAAGAAACTTCCCAAATGGTGGTGGTTTCTTTTCTTCGTAGGTTGGCGTAACCGGTGCCGATTTTGGTACATCATCGTTGTCCAATGATTTAGATCTAGCAGCTCTAGCAGCAAGATCATCCTTTTTAGTATCAAATACATCATCGTAATCTGCGTAATCCATATTGATATCTTGATCGTCTTGAGTACGTTGAAATTTGTCAAACCTTGCTAGACAATCTCGACGACGTCTATGATTGCTTGGTGTCACAGGAAGACTGTGTTTCCTTTGGAAATCCGTTCGTTGACGTGGTGGAAGTTTACTCTTAGATTCTTCAACGGTGATTATTCTTGAACATGACGATGAAGAAGTAGAAGAAGTAGATGACGACGACGATGAAGATGACGACGACGATGAAGAAGAAGAAGAAGTAGATGAGGATGATGAGGAAGATGAGGAAGATGAGGAAGATGAGGAAGATGAGGAAGATGAGGACGGAGGTAAGACGACGACGATCGGTACATCGTCGTCAGAGACGTTTCTTAAACCTACAATTTTCTTTGGTTCATTGTTAAGGTCCTCTTCTAATCCCCCAGGACGATTGATTCTCGTTGGTAGACTAGATACGTTACAATTACTCCACGAACAATGATTATTAACGTTTCTCGTTGATAATGACGTTGAGTTAGATTGACAATTGTCATTGATAGTTCTATCATTATATCGATGATGATCGATACCAACACCTAGATTATCCGGTAAACTTCCACTTTTACGTCGTGAAATATCATGATTTTGTTTACATTCATAAGTATTTTTATAATCATTACTGTTATACCAATAGGTATTGTTAATTGTATTATCGTTGTTTACATTTTCATCGGAATTTTCGCTATCCGATATACCAAATTCGTTCAACAATTCTTTGTACTTGATTATTCTCGGTTTTTCTTCCTCCTTTTCGTTATCTTTTATATTATGTCTTCGTCCTTTCCTATATTCCGAATGTTCTTTGGTTAATTCGTTAATCTCCTTAGCTATTATGCTATTAAATTCGGCAAGTATGTTGTTGGACCACTCGCCAATATCTTCTGCTACAATTGTTTTTTTATTTCCACGTGTCAATGAATTTTGTCGCTTTGGAATACGAGTAGCAATACTTTTCGTTGGCAAACATATTAAAGTATTCAAGGTATTATCCAAACTTGTTGTTGATTCTTCTTGCTTTGGATATTTTGGTTCTTCAATGACACGTAATGGAGTAGATGGGGCTGACTCGATGATCTCTCCGATTTCTTCCTAAAATTATACATTTTATTTCTTTCTATTTGTTTCTTCACGTGACTTTAAATATGAATGAATGAATGAATGAATGAATTTAAAGGGAAAACGATAGATAACCTAACAGGGAGGGGTAATCTTTATACAAAGGTGCATGTTGCACGCAACTCGTCGAGATTTTTAAAGATTATGCTTAGGTGCACTATGATAACAACAACAAGTAGATGTTTTCACAACATGTGGTGACGCATGCGTGTTGTTTGTAACCCACATAAATATACCAGTTGCGTGAGGAAGAGAAATGCATAATGCTACGATGCACATAATATCTCTTCAATCACCATCAAATAAAATCTTAGCAAACTTGAAAAGTTTGATTATACTATCATAATGATTTTCATAAGATAGTTTATGGATAAATCAAATAATATATGAAAGTGGGTAGATAAAATTGATGAACATCGGTGCGGATTTGGAAAGAACGTAGCAGCAAAACGGGGCAACCCCGCTGCTTTGTGAAAGATCGCTTGCGATAATAATCCGGGTCGACACTTTCAACAGAGTTATATCCCACATAAGGCGCCCTATTCAACGCACCTATGGTGTATAACCATGTAACAACCACCGGGCGTTGGAGGAACAATGGGGAAGCTTCACGCTTATGATCGATCGATCGTTCGACTGGATATCATCGACGGGATTTTTTTTTATTTTCAAGAAACAAAATGAAAGACACCAAGAGAAAGAGTAATCTTAAACGTTCTCTTATTTTATCCTTTTATCGTATCCTTTGATCATTCTCTCTATGAGATCTACACTTATTGTGAATCATTTTCTGCATACTCTTTCTTTTTTCTTTACATTATTTATTTATACGAATGGAAACATTTCGAAATGTACATTTATTTTTTTGTCGAGCCAAGCATATGAAAAAAATAAACAAGAAAAATATTATAATATAAATTAATTTAGAATATTTATTATCGTAAATAATCTAAATAGTATTCAACAAAGTTCTCTCTCTTGAGGGAAGATGAAAGTAAAAGTTTCACAGAAAAGATGTTAATCCAGCTCGTTTACGCAACGAATGATGATGATGATGATGATGATGATGATATCTTCGAGAAATCGATAAGGAAAAAGAAGAATATATTGATCAATAATCTTTGCATCAATTTCCTCGTTTAATAATTACCGATCGATACGATTAATTATGCTAAAGTAGGAAGGATTCATATCGTTTGAATAAAATCATCCCATAAAAAAACTACATATCTATGTGTGTGTGTGTGCGTGCGTGCGTGAAACTCGTCGAAATGAAATTAAATAGAAGATCTATCGAAAGATATTTATCTAAACGCAAATTACATGCTTAGATAGCACTTAAATCTCACTAGAAATTCGAAATCCTTTTTTCCTTAGAATTTAATCGTAGATATGGTTTAACTAGTTTCATTCCTGGTACGTTTTTTTTTTTTTTTTTTTTTATTCCAGTCTGATTGGGTTGCTTATCTCGCACGCTTCTTCTTAATAAACGCAATAATCCTACTTAGGAATATAGATTTGATATTTATGGCTTATCTTTTTCCTATTTGATTATCAATATCATTCAGTATAAATTTCACATATTCATATTAGTTTAAGAAAGATTTTCAAAACGTCATTTATAATATCATATTGTTAGCATTCTAAATCGTTTAGTTATTTGTGTCGTAGGTATTGGTAAAAGGTGTCGATAAAAGGGACAAACACGTATCATCGTCCTTTATTATTTATTCCAAGCACATTAATAGATCCGATGAAACGTCGGATTGTACGTTCCCTATATACACATGAGTGCATTTGTATGCATTTATAAATATATATGCGTGGGAGAAGTAATATAAAGGCCACTGGTTGGTACTACAAATATTATTTCCAATCGAAAAGACCCCGATTTGTTTGAATATTCTTTTGGTCGTGCATCTATTTACACTAATCTAACAAATTCCATTTGATACTTTGATATTTCCAAAATTCCTATCATCGAATATACACTTGTAATAATAATAATAATAATAATAATAATAATAATAATAATAATAATAATGATAATGATAATAATGATGAAGCAAAAAAAAAAAAAAAAGAGAATGTCGAACGATAAAAAAAAGTGATCCAAAGTCTTAATACAAAGTGCATGGAGAAGAAGTTACGTGATCGAATGAAAGTACGTTCGAATCATTGGATGAAGGAGAGAAGGGACCCTTAAAAATTGGCCACACGTGTAAGTCCAGTGTGTTGTACGTGATCTGAGAACGATATGATGATGTATCGAGTAGAAAGAAAAGAAGAAAAAAACAACAAGATCGATCTCGATCGATCGTATTCGATCGATCCGTTTACTTCGACGTATTTTTCTTGTTGAAATTCTTCGAGTTTCGTAACGTTGGTTACACGTTGCTTACATACAAGGTTCGAAGAGAATAATTTCACGTGTAGCAGGTAGAGATCAAAATCGTGTAGGTGTTCATGAAATTTAATAGAAAACAGACAGAATGATATATATATATATATATATCATTTTGATAGAAATTTTTTTTTCTTAAACACTCGATTGACTATATATAAAAACTCGCTCGGATTAGCACGTCGTGTCATTGGATTTTTTTCTTTTTCTTTTTCTTTTTCTTTTTCTTTTTTTTTTCCTTCTTTTAAAATCTCCTCTTACGTTGTATTTAACTGCGATTTATCGAATTTATTATAGAAAGGAAGGTTCTTTTCCACGTTGACGTCAGTTAGAAATTCGTTCGTCCATCTATCGAATAACCTTCCTCTCATTCTTCTTGTTCATATTCTTTTTGTTTTTTTTTTTTCCTTCTTCTTCTTCTTCTTTTTTTGGAAAGAAGAATGACGCGTGTAAACAGGTCTTTGAAAAGATACTGAGAGAAACTCGAAAACAAATAATGTAGAAAAAGGCTTGGAATATTATAAAGTTTGACGTTATAAACGTAATCATCATTATTATTTCTAAAATTGCATTAATATCATTTAATTGAATTTAAAGGTGAATAGTTACCCAGCACACGTTGAGATCGTTTAAGAGAATATAACGTGTAAGTGAATATAACTTAATGAAATCATCAAGTACACTATATACTACTATACTGACGACCGATCATCTTACAGTTAGATACGATCGATCAAATTAATCGGCTATATAATAAGATCGGTCAACAAGCATAATGAACGATCCAACTATAAACGCGTTAAGTAGACAAAATAAAATATATAATAGAATTATAAATACACACTTGTGAACGAATGTGGCTGATGAGGGGGTGGGGGGAGGGGAGTGATGATTACCTTTGAAGAAACTGGAACCACCTTTAATTTGTCGTTAAATGTTTTTCCAATTGAAATAAAGAAATAAATTAATAGAAATAAAAATAAATGACAAAAGCTTGACAATAATTAGACGACACTGATGTACACAAACACGTTATAAAGACACACGTAATTGACTAAATATAATAAATCAGTTCTTCTCGCGAAGAAAAAAGGCAACTCCGTTAAATGGGATTCTTCGACGACGATCAAAACTCAAGTAAATGCGTGCTGTTGTATGCTTGCGTGCCCGTGCCGTACCGTATAGTACCGTATCGTACCGTCAGTGTACGTGCTGTATGCGTGCATAAAAGCGTGCGTGTGTTCTTTCGAACGTTCACGCACGGTTTGCTGTTGGTTCATTCAAGGACCACTACCTCCTCCTCCTCCTCCTCCTGCTTGTTAGATGACGACCGGTCAACCTGAATAATATGTCGGACGATCGTAATCGAAGTGAAAATTCTTCTTCTTTTTAAAATGGAGGTGATTTGAAAAAAGCACATTATTTTCTATATGCATGTGTTTATTATTTCAATGTAAGAGTATACGAAGAAATTAATCAATGATCAATCAGCGTTGAGTAAACCTTTCGTAGACTCGTCAATTGAAAAAATTTGTTTAATGATGGGAATGCATCCCACAAGGTTTACTACACATACACATTATTATCACGTTCGCGTTTACGTTTCTGTAACATTGTGCAAGCTGTTATCTCGTTATTGAGTGACTGACATGTCGGTTATATACTAGCCGCAAGATTTCTTCATGGTCATAAAGAAAGCAATAGAAAAGAAGAAGAAGAAGAAGAAGAAAGAGAAATAAAAATAAAAACGTAGGCGGCTTGCATTGGCTACTGCTGCATCATTTTATGTTTTAGTTCTCTTAATCTTCTATATATATATATATATTAAATGAGGGAAACGATAAAGGCAGAAAATGATACGCTTTAACCTACAATGGAGAAAACAGAGGCTTCCTTGTTTTACAAAACTCAATCATGATATATGTATATACGAGTATATATATACCTAAGACAAATTCACGACGAATGGGTATTTATTATTTAAATATTGGATAAATTTTGCACGGTGAGAAAGTTGAGAAGAAATTATGGGTTGAAAGTCAATGATACGTTAAGTTAGTTGGTTCATTTAAATTTAATTGACTTGCGAGTACAATCGAATGAATAACAAGGGAGGAGAAGAGGGAGATTTATTCGTAGGTGTATGATATTATGTATTTTAAAAGTGATGGAATCCACACTGCATGCCGGAAGTTTAAATTATACACGGATCGTTGTATATGAAGGCGTCGATATGCCTTTCTATAAAAGTATTTTACTTGTACGGATCGATAACTCGGTAAAAAATAATACAAAAAAAAAAAGAAAAAAAAAATCCAATGAAATCTAACGTAACTGAACGGTCGTAACGTTTCGTAATGACGTCTAAATTAAAGGTAAGAAGGATATAATATCAAGGATTCGTTTCAGTATTTTTTGTTGTTATTAAAGCACGTATATCTAACTAAAATCTCGGATTAATAGCAAATAAGTATATACCTGACGTGAGAAAGGGTTTTAAGAAAAAATCCATAACGTAGTATTAGCTTACTTAAAAACTCTTCGAAATAGATAGAAAGGGTTGTTTCAG